ATATATACATATACATATACATATATATATATATATGTATATGTATATGTATATATATGAGTTAATTACCTATATACTTCTAATGTAAAAAAAAATTTATATTGGCAACCAATTAGATCTTTTAATTATGTCATGTCACTATAAACACATTTACTTTTAACAGTGACATAGCACAATTAAAAGATCTAATTGGTTGTCAGTGTAAAAAAAACTTTATACTGGTAGTGTATAAGTAATTAACTCTACGTATATTTGTCAAATATTGCAAAAAATTATAAACTTGCTCTATTCATTAAAAAGTTTTAATTCAATGATTGTATCGTTAAAATTCAATATAAATTTGAGTCATTAAGTGAATTAACTTTACTAAGAGTTTTTACCACCATCATTGTCATTAATGTCACTTGGCAACGATAACGATGGTGGTAATGAAGATGGTGAGATAGTGATGACATTGTCATCACTATTACCATCGTAATTGTCATCGTTATTATTGTTGTCAACATCATTGTTGTAAGTGATAGAAATGGTGGTGGCAACAGTAGTAACAACATTAGTGGCAATCACAGTGATGGTAATGGTGGTAATAATTGCAGCAATGAGTAGTAATGATGTTAATAATTATGGAAAATAGTGTTTATAATTGAATTTTAATCTTAATATTTTTATTTATAATCTAATGACTATGATTTAGTCTCCTCATCTCTTATAATATGACATGCTCTCCTTTGATATATATATATAAAGAGAGAGATATAATTATGTTATTAGTACAAAATATTTATTAGCATTGATCTTTGTTGAGGAACTTGATTGATTACCTTTAGTAAAATTTCTCTTCTCAATTATTTTTTTTTTGTACACAAAACTTAAATCTAAGATTTTACTTAATAAAATTGAGTTCAGTCTCACACGTTACAACTGTGATGGATCAAGTTACGACAACCGTTACAACTTTTTCTTGAAAATTAATAATGACATTTTTAATAAATATCACAATTCACGCGTAAATGAGAATAAATTATATAATTAATGTATAGTGTGTACAAAGCCTCAATAATGACAGTCTAGATGCAGTAATATTAATAAGGTTTAAAGTTTGAATTTTGTTATAATCATGCAATTTTTACTTTAAAAAAATTAGACAACTTTTTATTTTAACAATATAATAGATTAGACAGATAAGAACTTAATTAAGAGCTCACTTACATTAAGGGGCATTTGATACACATACTATTTTTACTTTCGTGAAAATCTTCAATTATAAATCTTGGTTTCCTTTGGTAGTTATTTAAAAAAAAAAAGTTCCTAAGAATATATAGTTTTTTAGGAATGACTTTTATCTCGCTTTCACACAAAAATATTATTACACAAGATAAAAATTCAATTTTTTTAATTAGAAAAAAAGTTTTATATATATAAAAAAAAAATCACAATAGTCATTTTTAAAATAAAAGATATATCTTTCTCTCTCTCATTCTTTTCTCTTTCTTTATCTTTTTTCTTGCTCTCTCTCTCACGCCCTCTCCCTCCCTCCCTCTAAGTCTATCTCTCTCTCTCTTTCACTTTCTCTCTCTCTTCCTCTTCTTTTCTAATTCTCTTTTTTCCTCACTTTCTCGTTCTTTGTCTCTCCCATTCTCAATCTTCTTCTCTTCTTCTCACCCTCTCTCTCTCTCGTCTTCACTATCCCCCAACCCCATATCTCTATTTTCCTTTCTCTCTTTTTTATATTTCTTTATTTCTTGACTTTGTTAATTTTAATATTATTAAAATCTATTTTATTTTAATATTTTGATGATATTTTTTAACATCTTTTTATTTTTTATTTTTTATTCAATGAAATAAAATAATATATTTTTAGTCTCTTTAATCATAATGTAGCATTTTTTATTGAATTTTGTATTTAAATTATTTTAATAAGCTTTCAACTTTTTAAGATAATTTAATATTATATTTATAATAAGATTTGAATAAATTAATATATCTAATGAGATTATTTTAAAAAAGATATTTTTATAAAAAATATATTTATTTACCCAAAAATGTATTATTATA